CTATGAAGACAAACATCTACCATAATGCTCGACAGTATGAAGACTAACATCTACCAAAATGCTCGACTGTACGAACGCTAAGATCTACCAAATTGCTTGGCAGTACGAAGGCTAAGACCGACCAAAATATGACAATATGAAGGCAAGCTCTACCAAAATGCTTGATTGTATGAATGCTCATATCTACCAAAATACTCAACAGTAAGAAGGTTAACATATACCAAAATGCTCGAATTCTATAATGGCTAAAATTTAACAAAATGTCATGTATAACATTTACATTTGTGTTTTATATTAGAGTCAAATATCGTGTTTTACTGCTTAATAGACGCATTTTTTTCTCTTACTAAATATCTCCAAAAACCACCCTGTGTATTATAAATCGAAAGTCGGTGGCGGGAGTTTTGAGTCAGCTGATTTCGTGAGAAGATAACTATTGGTAAATTTAACACAGTAAACTCACTAATTGTAATAAACTTGTCAAGAATACCAGTAATGAGGATTTCATGCTATAATACCGCTATAAGGATTCAGTAGTACAGTACACTATTTTATAGGTTTTGGTCTCTACATAAATCAAACTTAAGCTTATTTCTGTATTCAAATTTACATGTACCTAATTTAAAATTAGTGCTTGATCTGTAAAAGCAAATCAGCTACCAAGCTTGCAAAAAATACTATTAAGTTGAGGGCTCGATAAAAGACTTACTTTTGGTTTCTTTATATTACTCTAAAAGATACAAATATATGTTTAATATAAACAGATGTGTATAATTACAAGCGTGAAAGTCAATTTTGTCTTTATTTTTAAATGACAGATGATTATATCTCTCTTCAGATATCTGTGAATTTACATGAGTTCTTCAGTAAGATGGTGTACTGATTTCACGTTGCCTTCGCCACTGTTTTGGAACTGAGAGTATTCTTTTTGCCATCCAGGATTAGAGAGACTAGCCTGCCCTGATATCAAACCCTTAGCTGGAGGACGTAATTCATTCATTTATTGGTTCATCCAAGAGCATTTTTGTGAAAGGTTAACACAACAGATTAAGCAGAAATTTGAACTGGGCTTCTGGAACGTTGCAACTCAGATCAGACACTAGATTTATTCACAGGGTGCATCTTCTCTCAGTCAAACGCTTGTGGCTTAAAAAATAACCCTTCGACCAGATCGTTACCGACGAATTAGTACCATGAGAATTTGTACCAGTAAGCGGATTTTATTCTCGGGTTGTAACCTGCTGTTAGAGTGAAGCTGAGATGAAGCGTAGGTGATTGGTGGGTGAACAGTTTAACAGACGTCTTCCATTTCACGTCGTTCTCTTTGGACCATCTTCATCTCTATGGCCTTTTTGTGGGCAGTGGTCACTGTCTTATAGAGAATATTATCCTTTGTCTTTTCATCTTTGTTTAAAAAAGTAATTTATCTTCATTTAGTGACCTCTTTATCCGAACCCTTGCCATGTATTTGTGAAGTCTGCTTCACTCAGTTGATAACCATCCGGAAAATAAATGCCCGATTCCATTTTTGTGACAGGTCAGCTGTTTTCTATTTAATAAAATATCAGCAGAAACTGATATCGCTACATTTGCTGATTCCTTTTTTTTCTTCACACCAATAACCGTCACACTATCGGCGTATACTTTATTTAGTTTAATGTAAAATCCTTTCTGAGTGGTTGGAGCATTTCTAATATATGATTGTTCCTAGTTTTTTTTTTTCTAACAGTGTTTCTCTGCAATTTTCTTTCTTGATTCATATCTTCTTTTAATCATGGTCATTTATCAAACTTGATTTCCTGTCAAAAAATATGTCGGCAAAAATTAAATTTGTCTATTTCTAATACTATTATTATTAAATAAACCCACATAAAATATATATCTATATTTTTTAGCATTTCATTTTTATTTAACGTCTTTTAAAATTCAGTATTTGAAAAGGCCCGCTTCAAAATCTAGCCATTTTTCAACTATAGAAAAACGATCGGTATAAGAGTATACTCCGATTATTTGTAAATATTTGACGATACAACAGGAAAATGTGGGCATCAAAGACCAGAGCATGATAGCTGATCTTTCTCTATCCAAACAAGAGATTGATTACATTCAATGCCTCAAAAATCAAATAAGTGACGTTCCATCATCACCAAGCTGGCCATGAATTTTCACCTATCACGATGAAAGAATGCTATCTCAGGAAGAATCCGTGCTTTGAGCGTCTATTGGGACTTAAGTCCTACCCAGACCTTAAAGTGAAACTCTACACACACACACACACACACACACACACACACATATATATATATATATATATATATATATATATATATATATATATTTAGTTGATTGATGTGAGTTTGTGACCCTGGGTATCACGCTATTTGCGATCGTCAGACAAACTGACTGATAACCATCGGGCAAATAAATCTCTGACGATCGCAAATAGCGTGAAACCCAGGGTCACAATCTCACATCAAACCAACTAAATATGTTAGTTCTATCACTGATATTGAACGCTTTTCAATAAGTACCGCGCATTTATAAATAATATATATAAAAATTGTATATATATATATATATATATATATATATATATATATATATATATATACATACAAATCTCAAACACACACACACACACATATATATATATATATATATATATATATATATATATATATATATAATTGTTTGCCTACTGTGTTTTTAAAACATTATATATTTATACACGATTGTCTTCGAGAGGCTCTTCAAAGTGAGAATCAAAACCAGTTACCATTTTTGCTATATTTTTTCTCTCCTTTCTTTTCACCAGTTTATGCTGACTGTATTTCATATCCTTGTTATATACCCCCCCCCCCGCCATGTTAGTTTTAGTTATTTATATAAGTTTGTCTTCTCATGTGTGTCTGGCATATTTTAACATGTCAGTGTTTTTAGGAATAATATTATACATAGACACGCACACATATATATTTATATGTATACATACACACACACATACACTTCTCACACACACACACACACACATACAGACACACATACATACACACACACACACACACACATATATATATATATATATATATATATATATATATATATATATATAGTTATACTCGTTTGGAAAAATCTTAGGTATTTTTGCTTGTAAATGAACAAACCAATGTCCAAGGAAAAATAAGGAATAAAAAAAGAAAGAACTAAGAACATGAAATTGAGGTGAAAACAACCGTCCAGAATTCAATCCCAAAGAATCCAAAGAAAAAAAAAACAAAACCAGTAAAGCAAAAGTAACTATGTGAAGTGCTCAATACACTAAGTAGAACAAACCTGGCTCTTTAGGTTCATATATATATATATATATATATATATATATATATATATATATATATATATATATATATATATATATATATATATATAACGGTTGTAACATCAAAATTGTCTAAATCGTGTAATAGCAAAATTATCTAATAGATTGTATCTTGGAAATTCTTAAAGATATCTCATTAGAACTCTCTGAGGATTTTATAGCACTATTGGACTCTACTTTGTCCAATGAAAATGTGTAATTACTATCCAAGCTTAGAAGCATGATGAAATTGATCATAAACGAATATGACATGTTCATCATTAATTAATCATAGCTAAGGATCGGAAGCCAATGAAGGTTTTATATAATGTTCAAATATATATATATATATATATATATATATATATATATATATATATATATATATATATTTCCAGGATCATTTTTCAATTTATTCAAGGTGATATTTGCCCTCTAACTTTCTAACTTTCTGTCTTGTAGTAACAAAGTGTTTCACAGTTTTCACATCCGAGTTCATTTTCAATTCTTTTTTCACTGCTCTTTGGACTGTCATAGCCGAAATTTCTTTCTCAAGTGCCAAAGGTCTTATGAATTGAGTTGGATCTTTTCTAATTGATCTCTTTAGTTCTAAGTTGAAATGATGATCCCTCTTCCTGTTGTGACCTTCTGATCCAGTTTCCCTCTCCCCTATTCCCTCTTTTTAAAACTTATTTGCCTTTCTGTTGATGGCTTATGAAGGAATTCTGAAGATGGAAGCCAGAGTATGAATGTTGGTACGTTTACTGAAGGCCTGAATGATATTTTCATTTCACCATTGCTTATTTGGGAAGAGAGTGAGGCTGACACAAAACGATTCTAATCTGTTCTCTTTCTAGCTGAATAACACAAAGGAATACCTTAACTGAAAACCTGGAAAAACGAATTTGTTTAGTGTATCTTTTAGATATTAAACATTTTACGAGATGCATAATTATGCTGTTACACGATTTGGACGATTTTGCTGTTACATCTGATTGTGTGTGTGTGTGTGTGTGTGTGTGTGTGTGTGTGTGTGTGTGATGCCAGGTATTTGCTATAAACAAAGTATTTTAGTAAACATTTAGTAAAGTACTGTTTCTTATTTGGGTCAGTAAATAACACTTACAAAGTTTATGTTTTTTTATGCTAGACAAGTCGAACCTTAGCATCTTACAAAATACTTGTACCAAATTTTACAAATATATATTTTTTTAAAACCAAAGAAACTGCCGTTGTGCTCCCCGGCCTTCTTCAGGTGATATACGTTGGAATTTCGAACCGAACCCTTTATTTAGTCCACGTGGGTATATTGTTCTACTTCCACGTGCTACGCCTTTTCCGGTGGACTAAATAAAGGAAAATGAAATGCCTAAAAAAAATCTTTGCACATTTACAACTGAATTGAATGACGTTTTTATAACAATAAATAGACACACGAACTCTGTATATTTTGTTTAAAACAAGAGCCATAACATTTATTACACAGAATTGCTTTTTGTTATAATTTATATAAATCTAAAATGTATGCGTTTACACTACTTACATTGTTCGGACTGTTGCCCTCATCTTTATTGCCATATTCACAAAGTTTTGACTATTTTCATTTTATATTTAATTCTGAATAAATATTTATTTTCTTATTCAGGTAAATCAGTCGCTTTATTCAACGCTCGTTACTCTTCCATGGGACAGATTCTGTCATTCCAGTATGAAAGGTATGCGTAATCTATAATTCTATTATTCCTTTATTTGTTCTGTTTAACTTGATGGTGGAAGAAACTTTTCAAAAACTACTTGATATTCAGTGGCCACTACATCTCTATCGAAAAGACTATGTCATACCAAAATATAAAAAAAAAGTATTGTTCCATGAAGGTGCTGAAAAGTTCTCGTCCCGAAGAAGCAGACTTTAGAAAAGAAATTTTAATGGTTAATTGGTTAGATTCCAGGAAATGGGTCAGGTCGAGATATTTTCAATACTCCTCCCCACAAAAATAATATTTAATTTTGTTGTTTCCATATCAGCTTTGTTTATTCTTGTGGTGGGGGTGTAGAATTATGGCTTTCTCTGAAAGTTAATGTATCAAAGACTTCGTGTGGAAACGCGCATCTTAAGAACATATCAAATGCAGTTTGAAGTTCTCAGAGTAAATATTTTCAGTAAACTGAGTGACAAGTTTTCATTTTATCTTAATTTTGTTTAAACAAAAGAAAAAAAAATAATAATAAAATGAAAGACGAGTTAGTCAAAAATTAGTAAGAATGAAAATAATTTCAAACGTATATTTCTTTAAATACCATGTCCCCTCAGAACATACACACAGTCATGACACTCCACATTTTTTACCTATCACGATGAACCGGTGTTATGTCAGAGACGTTCAGTGCCTTGAGGACCTATTTGGACTTAGTGAGGCACTTGACAACAAATACATCACTTGATAAGACACAGAGTGTGTTGAAACAAAATGGCTATTTTTGTAGTGATTTTATAACATACTTATGTTATATTTTTTTTTCATAAAAATATTATATATATATATATATATATATATATATATATATATATATATATATATATTCTTGTTTTTCTTCTACTGTGTCTTTAAAAACATTACATATTTATACACGCTTGTTCTTGAGAAGACCTGGAGAAGGTTAGCCTTTTTATGGTGACTGTATATTATTAGCCTAGCTCTTTCACTCCTTGTTTTTTCGTTTGTTATTCATAAGATTATCTTTTACATGATTTATAGATAATATATATATATATATATATATATATATATATATATATATATATATATATATATACAGAGAGAGAGAGAGAGAGAGAGCGAGAGAGAGAGGGAGGGAGAGAGAGAGATAGATAGATAGATAGATAGATAGTATGTAATAAACCTGGGCACGTAATCCAGACATAGTTATAAGTTATTGACATTTGTAAAAACGTTCATGAAAGTATGTTTCGAAAATTATCGATATTATTTTCAAAACATAATTTCATAAACGTTTTTACATATGTCAATAACACACACACGTACACACACACACGTGTGTGTGTGTGTGTGTGTGCGTGTGTGTGTGTGTTTGTGCGAAAACAGCGTTCGTATATACAGGGTGTAACAAAAATACGTATACAAACATTGGGGTCAAGTTCCTCACACCAAAACAAGAGCGAAAGTTCATAGAAACAATATCCGTAACATGCGTCTTCGTATTAGCAGGGGTACATTCTTTAGCAGGTCTTGTAGTGTGTTCGAAATAAAGTCCCTGCAGACAGATCCTGTAAGTCATGCTGGAAGAACATATGGACCTACCATGCAGTCACCTACAATTCCAGCCCACATATTAATCCTGATACTGATGCCTAGCCTGTATTGTACCATGCAAATTCCGATCCGCTCACAGATGTTTTTGTAAATTTGTTATTCCATCTCTTCCAAATGTTTGTCTCATCCGTAGACAAGACAGGAAAGACAAACAACAGATCGGCATTTTATACAATAAACCATCGGCAAAAGTTCTGACCCTGCACACGTTGCAAATAATACAATTACAGGAGCTGGACTTGAAGTACCCTCCATACCGTACTATGAGATGTACAACATACTAGGGATACTTGACTTGTGCTAATACCGGGATCTTCATGGTCAGCCGTGCAAGCGGATCTCAGTCTACCTCAATCCATAGTTTGTGGTGCTACGGATCCCGTCTAAGCAATGCAGTGATAAACAGCAGCAAAGGTTGGATGAGTCGGCTACCTTCGGTATGGAAGCGCAGCCTGATACAGCAATGAAGCTTGACGTCCATTAACATTCGCCGGGCCGTATGCAAAAATTATATATGCCTGTTCACGTTCACGAATATCATGTCATTGTTAAACGGAACACTTCTCAGTTAACTCACTACTACTCATGTTAAAAGTTGAAGAGAGACTAGCCACAAATGTACACGAACGACAAATATAACATAGTCTAAATGGCAACACAACGCCATCTATAATAAACTTTCTTTAAACTTAATAAGTCAAACATATATATATATATATATATATATATATATATATATATATAAAAATAAAATATACCAAAATTTACCAGAATTTTTTTTTTTCTTCATATCTCAATCTCTGATTAAGCTTTAATAAAAGTGAAAGATGTCAGATTGCTAAATGTTTTTATTTGTTCTTTCCTGTACCACATATATTTAAATATATTTTATGTTTATTTAAAGACATTTTAAATTCTTTTTCAGACTTTGGCCTCCATTTTCAGAAAATATTCGTCCTTCAACATATATATAACTGTCATGTAGACTCCTCTCCCAAAAGATCGTGTTTGGCAAGATCGAATTTACTTTCGCTTATAAACTTCAACTTTCCATGAATCTCTGTTCATAACTTGAAAAAATGACGTCATATTATTAAGATTTGGACAAAGTCCGACAATTATTTAAAGACATTTTTATGTTTAACATTTTTTATAGATAGAGCCATAAATGCTCTGTTTATAATGTTTTACCGGCCTGAATACCTGATACGCCATGAGCAGTTATGAATGTACGTGAGATTCATGAAAGTTGAAGTTACGACCTTTGCCAACCGAAAGAATCACATATGATTTGATTATAGTCGAAACGAATTTGTGCAAATTTCTCGAATCCAGGCGGTAAATGTTAAAATGTTTATTACTTTTTGATAAAAAGAATGTTAAACATAAAATGTCGAAATAATTGTCGGACTTTGTCCATTTCATAATATATATATATATATATATATATATGGTAGACTCTCCCGTCGTGTTCGATGTTTGAAGGTCGAGCAGCTCAGTTCCCCGACAGCCAGACACTCCAATATGATTTGATTATAGTGGTGAAGGCTTTGTGCAGAAGCAACCACACTTTTTGAAGGGTCGAATACAGACACCTGGTGCACTACGTGCCACAAGGTCCCCAAACGACTCTCCGCAAGTTTTGAATCCACAGTTGTCCTTCTCCTAGACCATTTGCCATCCAAGTCTATAGAACACAGTCTGTCCTGCTATTTTAACCATAGCTAGGAGGAGGAAAAGAGGATTAATACCTTTCCCAAGGGTATTAGCACGTAAGTATATATATATATATATATATATATATATATATATATATATATATATATATATATGGACACAGAGAGAAAAGAATTTTAAAACACTGCATCTCCTTTTATTAGTCTTGTCTTAAATTTTTGATTGCTTTTATTTTATTTATAAGGAATTGAGGTTAAGATAAATATGTATAATTTTCGTGTCATGCTATATGAGTTAAGACTTGGTCATTGCACACTCGTACATTGGCCCTAACACCCGTAGCTTGAGGGCATGAGGTTCAGTTTTACAACTTGTACGCACTTAAAGATTAAATTATTTCACAGATTAAAAGATGAGATTATTTCACAGATTACAAGATAACTGTGAAATATTGAATGAGGCACCGAATACGCTCACTAACATGACAGATGTTCATCAGCCCTTTTCAGCTAAGTGCCATAGGGGATAAACCCTTGAGCGATCATGTCTTTTTCAATGCATGACTGACGAGGCAGAAGATCTTCTCGCAGTAGGTTGCCATTTCTTTCTACGGTAGTCTGGTTGTCAGTCAATGTTATAGAACCCAGTATATAGAAGAAGAAGAAGAAGAAGAAGAAGAAGAAGAAGAAGAAGAAGAAGGATGAGGAGGAAGGAGAAAGAGGAGGAAGAGGAAGAAGATGAAGAGAAGGGGAGGAGGAGGAAGAAGAAAAACAACAAGAAGAAGAGATGAATTAATAACTTTCCAAAGGGTATTTGCTCCTAAGTAAATATAACGAACTCGACTGGTACTCGAACTCGGCTCTCCGCTTTGTCGGATCTGATGTCCATTACTTCCCAACTCACATCCTTTTACTTGTCAAGTTTCCCGTGCTATAGATGGAGTGCGCGACTACTTACAAAATCTACATTTCCATTATTTTTTTTATCAGTATAGTACTTGCTCAGCAGTGACTGCAATCATAATGCAGTTGGATCATTCAGCAAATAATTGAAATCAATTGTGATCGAAATTACTTAAAATATTTCATTTTTGTGATTAACTGAAATTTTACTGCCAAGTGCTTCACTGCGTGCGCGGATTTTGGCTATGAGGATCCCCTTAGTAGGCCCAACGTAGAAATAAATACGATATGAGAGCCGTTAATAAAAACGGAAAGATATATGACAGCTGGGTTTAAACAGAGCAGCAGAATTAGCTGCAGTAGAAACGAAATGCTTCCGTTGAGCGTGATAATCAGTAGAAGTCATCAGCAGGCAGGTTAGATTTCAGTTCTCCACACATTTTTTTTTCACATTAGACCAGTGGATTAAAGAACTGGTTCGTGAATTTGGTGACATAGTAATTGTGAGTTCAATCCTTGGACCAGGCAGTGTGTATTTGAACTCAGTGGAAAAGGAGTAAGCAATAACTGACAAGTACGAAATAAAGAACTAGACGAGATATCCCTAAACATGGTCAGCTGAGCCAGAACAATCTTCCCTATAGATTAAATAGAGGGTTCAGTTTGATATTCCCAGAAGTTTATCTGGTTCGGGAAACACCTGACGAAGGCCGGAAGGCAAAAACGCCCGAAACGTTGTAATAATAGCAACAAAGATGAGAACAACAAAGTCCATAGGTAAATTATGTGATTTGCTAGATAATTGTTCTTACGCATTTCTTCGTCTACCATTCGTCCAAGCATTGAATATTGCTACCATATCTGGTTTGGTGCTTTTGCTGTGTATTTACGGATACTTGACAAAATCCAGATAAGGATACGTGATGTTATCGGTACTGAACTGGTATCTCGTCTTCAGTCACTTTCCCATCGCCCTAACGTAGATACCCTGTCCCTTTTCTATAAATTATTTCATTTGTTACACACACATTATTGTTTTTGTCATTTGTAACCCTTTTGTTGTTAATACATATTCATATGTTTGTACATATATATCGGTCCTTGATATTTCATTCTATTTCTTTTGGTGGACTCATACTCCGAGTCCGCCATGTTTGTTGTGGGCATTTCAGGAGACACACGTATTTATCTCACAACGCGTACACACGGCCCGCAAAAAGCTTTCCTTTTTCGAAGAAGATATAAGACTACGAATTTAAACGCGGTATTCGATTGGGAGTTAGCCCTCATTATTTTACAGTTGAAAATTGCCAGACATAACCATAAACTCTACGCTAACAGTTTCTTCTCTTGTGCGTGCCTCTCGCTTATGGAACACTAATCCAGTTTCTTGCTTTCCAATCAAATTTGATCTTCAAAAATGTAAATGCAAACTCAATCGTCATCTTCTTTCTCATTGAACCCTGTTCTATTACTAGAACATATCTCGCCGTCATATAATTTTTTTCGCAAATTCTTTCACACTCAGTAATTCCCTTGTGTCTTTGTAGTTTCATTGCCTTGCTTGGGGTGAAATGATTAAAAAAATAATTTTAACGTTTTATCCTAGAAATTCAAAGAGAGATTGCATCGACCAAATTCACGAATATATATGTTATTTTATTTGACTGCCGGCCAACCTTTTTAACTGTATATATTTGAATAACTCAATGTTTATTCTTTGTTTTTGTTTTTTAGGCCCAGCATAAAAAATGATACACAGATTATCAACTCTGATATTCTAACAAGCAGCATGGTTGGAATTCCTGCCCAAAGATTCAGCAGGTTGACATCACCTATAATCCTGGTATTTAAACTAAAGGTGAGAATGGATTCTATTTCTTCAGGACTCCATAAGAGTGTTTGTTCTTATATCTCGTTTGATGTACCCTGTCTCTTCAGCACCTGGCCAATCATGCTATTCCACATTTTTCCACCCCTTGTTTCTGTAAGCAACGTTTACCTTTTCACCATCCTTATTTGTCCCTGATCTATCATCTATTTATCCAAACAGGTAGGTTAATTGCTTTCTCCTACTCCCCATTCCTTCAATGTCCTGGGTTGGTGTCTTCACCACAGTTGTTTTAGATTATCGATAAGGTTGTCACATTCCTCGGCCTTCTTTTTCTTTTGTGTGTCTCTCCAGATGTCCTTATCCCTTATAGCACTAACCAAACATCTGCCTCGTTATCATTCTTCTTTGACCTCGCTCTACCATCCATTCACTCCAATATATGCTACTGGCTGTATTTCTCTATACTTTAACATGTGAGTGTTAAATTTTCCAAGCCTCTCTTCCTCATACTGTGGGATATACCAATGGTGAAACGAATAACGGCTCGGAGAGAAATCGGAGAGCCGAGTTCGAATTCCGTGACGTTTGTTTCATTCTAACTGCTAACTCGGCCTGTGAAGGTTATTTGTTGGACGTATTTTCGCCAGGTTTATGGGGTGGAATAGGCCATTAACTGTAGGTAGAGGCGGATGTGACACGCTTGGCTGATCATGTTTCTTTTTGATTCATGATAACACAAGGATATTTTCGCGTAAGTGAATGAAACGATTCCGACTGGAATTCGAAATCGGCTCTCCAATTTCTCATTCTGAAATCTTATTCATTACACCATCCGCACATCTGAGCTTACAGCACCTGGTATTCCTAAACCGTCACCCATCTCGATACTGATCAGGTTCGACGTTGTCTTAACTTCATTGCTCGGACAAAAACCGACGTTTTCAAAGTGATATGGTCGTAAGCTCGTTATATTCACTTAAGGGCAAATACATTTGGAAAAACTATGAATCTATCTACTCACCCAGATATGGGTTAAATACTATGACTTATATCTCCAAAGAATTGTAAATGCAATATTCACACACAAAGAAGAATATAATAATCATTTTGCAATCCAAAATATATTTCGTCTTTAAATAACCAACAAAATGTTAATAAGCCGTAAAAAAGAAATCTGTCAATCAATCTCTTCACTTGTCGCAGAAATTTCAGCCATGTCTTTCTGATTTTAAGTCTAAGTGATATTCTAGTTCCCATTTCTAGAACTTCCTGGTTGCTGACGTGTCGTGTCTACGGTGTTCTTAGCATCAGTCTATAGAACCATATCTCTATCATTTTGAGTCTTTTTCATTTGGATAAAAATTGCTCAATATTTCCTGCTCTATAGGAGGATTGATAAGGCGTAGTTTCTGACAACATTTTTCTATGTCTTAATATGTTGCTTAGGTTCTCAATGGCCTGTTCATTCCCATACAGTCTGAGAACTTCCAATAAGGAAACAAGAAAGGATAATAATAATAATAATAATAATAATAATAATAATAATAATAATAACTGAATAGATTCCTGGAATCCCATGCTTTAAAGAAATACAAAACATTGTTCTCACGAATACAGCCCACACCTTACCAAGAGATTTCTCTCTGTAAAATGTGTGTTTTTTGTTTGTTTGTTTTTTCTTTAAGTGATCAGTGCCAAGATTTTTTTTGTTTTAAATGGTCAAGATCTCTGGGCGGGACCCGGAAAGAAATGTGTACACACCAGAAATCAAAGGAAATAAAATAAAAATAATAATAAACGTCAGATCCCACAAGTAAATAAAAACCGAACAATTCCAGTGAATGCTGGGGACATGGAAACAAGAGTTAGTCAAGGAAAAAATGGCAGCTTCTATATGCAATTAAAAACCGAATAATTCGCATTTATATCGAGAATATTCATACAAGAAATGATATTTAAAAAATTAATCGTCACCTCACATATCTACATGAAACCGAAAAGCTCTTGTTGATATCGAGAATATAAGAATTAACAAACCGAAACCGATGCTCCCACATCCCCACAAAAAATAAAAATAAAAAAAAAACGATACATTCCAGATACAGTGTAACCCGGATATAAGAGAAACCCGGATATAAGAGAGATTGTCTCTTGTTGTATATGTAGATAAAATATAAGAAACCCGATAACCCCAAATTAGAGCCTGTAAACCCGATAAGAATTAACAAACCGAAATTGTCCTGGTCCCAAATTAGAGCCTGTGTTAATGTATATATCCCCAAACCCGGATAAAATAAAAGAGAGATTGTCTCTGGTCCCAAAAGAGCCTGTGTTAATGTATAAAATCCAAACCCCGGATATAAGAGAAACCCGATATAAGAGAGATTGTTCTGGTCCCAAATTAGAGCCTGTGTTAATGATATAAAATAGACCAAACCCGATATAAGAGAAACCCGGATATAAGAGAGATTGTCTCTGGTCCCAAATTAGAGCCTGTGTTAATGTATATAAAATAGACCAAACCCGATATAAGAGAAACCTGGATATAAGAGAGATTTCTCTGGTCCCAAATTAGAGCCTGTGTTAATGTATATAAAATAGACCAAACCCGGATATAAGAGAAACCCGGATATAAGAGAAAATTAGAGCCTGTGTTAATGTATAAAAATAGACCAAACCCGGATATAAGAGAAACCCGGTATAAGAGAGATTGTCTCTGGTCCCAAATTAGAGCCTGTGTTAATGTATATAAAATAGACCAAACCCGGATATAAGAGAAACCCGATATAAGAGAGATTGTCTCTGGTCCCAAATTAGAGCCTGTGTTAATGTATAAACCCGGATAAAAGAGATAGACCCAAATTAGAGCCTGGATATAAGAGAAAACCCGGATATAAGAGAAACCCGATTTGTCTCTGGTCCCAAATTAGAGCCTGTGTTAATGTATATAAAATAGACCAAACCCGGATATAAGAGAAACAAAGAGAGATTGTCTCTGGTCCCAAATAGAGCCTATATAAATAGAAAAACCGGATATAAGAGAAACCCGGGTATAAGAGAGATTGTCTGGTCCCAAATTAGAGCCTGTGTTAATGTATATAAAATAGACCAAACCCGGATATAAGAAACCCGGATATAAGAGAGAGATTGTCTCTGGTCCCAAATTAGAGCCTGTGTTAATGTATATAAAATAGAAAACCCGGATATAAGAGAAACCCGGATATAAGAGAGATTTTCTCTGGTCCCAAATTAGAGCCTGTGTTAATGTATATAAAATAGACCAAACCCGGATATAAGAGAAACCCGGATATAAGAGAAAATTAGAGCCTGTGTTAATGTATATAAAATAGACCAAACCCGGATATAAGAGAAACCCGGATATTTTTTCTCTGGTCCCAAATTAGAGCCTGTGTTAATGTATAAAATAGACCAATAAGAGAGATTTTCCCCCAAATTAGAGCCTGTTTTATGTATATAAATAGATCCCGGATATAAGAGAAACCCGGATATAAGAAAATTAGAGCCTGTGTTAATGTATATAAAATAGACCAAACCCGGATAAAGAGAAAACCCGGATATAAGAGAGATTTTCTGGTCCCAAATTAGAGCCTGTGTTAATGTATATAAATAGACCAAACCCGGATATAAGAGAAACCCGGATATAAGAGAGATTCTCTGGTCCCAAATTAGAGCCTGTGTTAATGTATATAAAATAGACCAAACCCGGATATAAGAGAAACCCGGATATAAGAGAGATTGTCCTGGTCCCAAATTAGAGCCTGGATATAAGAAAATAGAAAACCCGGATATAAGAGAAACCTAGATCAAACCCGGATATATAAGAGAGATTTCTCTGGTCCCAAATTAGAGCCTGTGTTAATGTATATAAATAGACCAAACCATATAAGAGAAACCCGGATATTGTCTGGTCCCAAATTAGAGCCTGAAATATAAAATAGACCAAACCCGGATATAAGAGAAACCCGGGTATAAGAGATTTTTCTCTGGTCCCAAATTAGAGCCTGTGTTAATGTATATAAAATAGACCAAACCCGGATATAAGAGAAACCTGGATATAAGAGAGATTTTCTGGTCCCAAATGGTCCCAAATTATAAGAGAGATTGTCTCTGGTCCCAAATTAGAGCCTGTGTTAATGTATATAAAATAGACCAAACCCGGATATAAGAGAAACCCGGATATAAGAGAGATTGTCTCTGGTCCCAAATTAGAGCCTGTGTTAATGTATATAAAAACCGGATATAGACCAAACCCGGATATAAGAGAAACCGGATATAAGAGAGATTTCTCTGGTCCCAAATTAGAGCCTGTGTTAATGTATATAAAATAGACCAAACCCGGATATAAGAGAAACCTCGGATATAAGAGAGATTGTCTCTGGTCCCAAATTAGAGCCTGTGTTAAATATAATAGACCAAACCCGGATATAAGAGAAACCCGGATTTTGTCTCTGGTCCCAAATTAGAGCCTGTGTTAATGTATAAAATAGACCAAACCCGATATAAGAGAAAACCTGTATAGAGATTGTCTAAATTAGAGCCTGTGTTAATGTATAAAAATAGACCAAACCCGGATATAAGAGAAACCCGGATATAAGAGAGATTGTCCTGGTCCCAAATTAGAGCCTAATGTATATAAATAGACCAAACCCGGATATAAGAGAAACCCGGATATAAGAGAGATTTTCTCTGGTCCCAAATTAGAGCCTGTGTTAATGTATATAAAAATAGACCAAACCCGGATATAAGAGAAACCCGGAATAAGAGAGATTGTCTCTGGTCCCAAATTAGAGCCTGTGTAATGTATATAAAATAGACAAACCCGGATATAAGAGAAACCCGGATAAGAGAAAATTAGAGCCGGATATAAGAGAGATTGTCTCTGGTCCCAAATTAGAGCCAAACCCGGATATGTGTTAATGTAAATATAAAAATAGACCAAACCCGGATATAAGAGAAACCCGGATATAAGAGAGATTGTCTCTGGTCCCAAATTAGAGCCTGTGTTA